GGACTTAACAACCATGAATTTATCCACTTCTCTTTTAAACGCTGTTATAGTCCTAGCCTTCACAACCTCCTCAGGCAAGGAGTTCCACAAGTTGACTGTGCGCTGCGTGAAGAAGCTGTAGGAAAGAAAGTGACAGTTCAGAGGGCTGGGATGGGGCCTGCTGCTTTGTTAGCTCCCAGGGCCGAACTCCTGAGGAGACCCTACCATGAAGCAGAGGGTCGTCTCCGCATGGACAAAGCATTGGGAAAAGGGATGGCAAGGATGCCCAAGATGACAAAGTGTATCTGATGGTGCATAAACAGCAGAGGGAAGGCGGGGCTGTTTCAGTGTCCAAAGGGTACTTATCGTTTGAACAGGAAATTCTGATATCTTATCTGGGCTTCAACAAAGGAATTGGCATCCTTCCCTTGTGTACCCTACCCAATTACAAGAATTAGAATTAGGGACCAGCCATTCCCTGGAGTCCATTGCATCAGACCGGAAGGGCTTTCCAGAGGAGGACAGGGGAGTCAGGGTAAATATTTTGATGCTAGGACTGAGTAGGTTGGTTTATGTGCAGCTATATGGCCTAGCCCGTTCTGAACACCGTCTGCAAGCATTGCACAGAATCTTCTGGAGAGGAGCATGTAGGATGGGAAGAGGGTTAGGATGTTGCCAATCTTGTATAGACCCCTGGAAAAGTCCCTGCAGCAAGGAGTGGTGGAGAAAAGGCATATTAAGAAAGGTGGCCAGTCTGTAGGAAAAGCTTCATAAAGGTTCTGTTCCCTTGGGGAAGCAGCATTAATTCCCTCTGCATGTTCTACAGCTTGCCCTCCTCCCATGGCTCATGGCCAAAGTGTGCAGGGCTATTGGTGCTGCTGCACTGACAAGGCTGGGGATGGGGTGTCTTGATGGGGGTCTGGCGAAGGAAACTGTGTAGGATACACACCCTTTGGATCCCCAGCTATTCAGGCCTGACCTCTATGGGCCTGTATCCCGGCCAGAGGGCTGTTGGGGAGAACACTCAGACCCCTCTGCTCCATTGAAACCACTGAGTTCTTGACTAATTGGTTCCCCTCCATCCAGGAGGAGATTATTAGGGTTGATAGTAAAGCAGGAATTTCTGCACACTGCAGAGTGGTCGGGGTCTTTGGAGGGGTCATCGGCCAGGCTCAGGCTAACATCCTGGGATGGAGACAGAACCCCAGCTGTGGTGAGCCTGATTGTCCTTCTGTAAGATGGTTTCAATGCACAGAGAGAAGTAGAAATGCTGCTAAGCTCGTTCTGGTTTCTTTTCAATCTCTCAGTGGTTATCTAGGAAACGAGTGGGCAGTGGAACTTAAGCCTGCCGTCTGACTGGCACAGCTGGGGGCAGTGGGCAGCGTCAGGAATGGCAGATGTGTTTCTGCGAGGCCCAGCAAAAATGAAATGCTAAGGAATGATAGTTGCACTGGCTGCTCAGGGAGTTTGTACTTTAGAAAAGTTCTGAGTAGGAAATTAATAAATTACAGGAGAGTTAATTGTGCTAGTGTGGGAAAATAGTCCTGACAGCTGTAGAAGATTTAAGAAGCAGTTCAGACAGAATTGTTTGCATACATGTAATTACACTGACAATGTAGATAAGATAACCTCATTTCTACTACAGGCTGGAGTTTGTTTACTGGAATGTAACTAAGTTATTTGCACACTCAAGCATACAAACAATATGCACACGCTCACACAAACACACTCGTATGCATTTGTCTTTGGCAGAGAGTGCAAGCTATGACAAACAAAGTCTTTATCATTGTAATGATCTGTTATCTTTTAAGGTCAAATTTTCAAACGAAACCACCTGAATTGCACCTGAGAAATAACACAACTGCAGAAAGACCCATACTAGGTGCCATGTAGCCTATGGCCCCAAAGTCTTTCATCAGGGCAATATAACAGAATACCTGGGCCAAAATACCTGCTGCACTATGCATCTAGGACGCTTATGAAGTATCTGTCTATTCCATGTTTCCTTCCACAGCTTCCAGCAGAGTCCTGCAAAGAATTGAATTAAACAGAACTAAAGAGTAAAGCAGCCACAGGTACTTAAAGTTCTTGTATACACTCACCTTACCCATGACCCTATGATTTGTTGCCTTCCTCATCATGTTATGTCTGGTCGTAACTCCTGATCCTTCCGACACTTTTACTACAGGTATAGTGCTTACTCCTGCGAGGAGTCCCCTCGGAAGTCTGCACTGTATAGTGCCAGAGGGCGTTTGGAACACCTGGTGATGGGAAGCATTAGACCTTTTCATACATCGCGCTCATTGCTAGCTGCACTGTTCCCAGTGGTTACCACAGCAGGAGACTGTTCCTTGTGCTTGCGTCAATAGCGGGATGTGGAGGAAGGTATGAAAAATAACAACTGCGTTTAACAAGAGCTGAAATGAATGGCAAGCAGGGGAGAGGGATCTGTGGGGGTCTTCTACCAGGCTCCCTCCCCTCAGCTCTTCAGTAGGTCACCAAGTGAGGACTAGAGCTGTGTGAGTAACCCATAATTGTGGTCAGTGGCTGAACTAGGAAGCTTTGAAAAATTTCATTTTGGGTTGAACAAAACCCCTCCACATTTTGTTCAGCACAAAATGCAATGTTTTGTGTGAGTTTTTTGACTTAAAAAAATTCTAAACAAAAAGGGGTTTTGAGTTGAAAAATTGAAACGCTTCAATTCTTTTTTCAGAACAATTCCCACGATGTTTCAGTTGACCTGAATCTGCAGTTTTTGGTGGAAAAAAGTGTCATGCCTCCCAGCGCACATGGAGAGCATGCCCACCATCCCCTAAGAAAGTGCAACATGATGTCTTCTGCATATCTAGCCAACATTGCAGGCTGATGCAAAGTGCGTCAGGGCTACACCTGCTATTCCATCACCCCTTGGGGTGGCTAGCACCCCAGGAGTGATAGCAGAAGACAATCAGAAGAGTACCCAGTCTGAAGTTGTACCTGTATCTTCCATGGAGATACCAAGGGTGGAGGGAAGGCTCCTTACATCCCCCTCCCCAGATGCAAGGTTAGGTGCAATCTGTCCCTTGCTGTTTCATAGATTCATAGATTCTAGGACTGGAAGGGACCTTGAGAGGTCATTGAGTCCAGTCCCCTGCCCTCATGGCAGGACCAAATACTGTCTAGACCATCCCTGATAGACATTTATCTAACCTACTCTTAAATATCTCCAGAGATGGAG